GGAAGGCTGAGGCGGAAGGATCGCCAGAGCCCAGCAGGTCGAGGCTGTGGTGGCCGGGAGTGGCCACTGCACTCCAGTCTGGGTGACAGAGTGAGACTACAACTCAAAAAAAAAAAAAAGAGAGACGAAAACTAACAAAAAAATACAAGGAGATATTAACAAATCCACCATCACAGAGAGAAATTTTGACATTTTTCTCAGTAACTAAAAGATGCCTCTAAAGATGTGACACAGAGGAAAAAATAAAATTAAACAAACAAAAAAAGATGAAGCAGAAAAAAAAATGAATAGGAAAACAAGGAGTCAATATTTATATAAATAAATTAATTAATTGAAAGGGTTATGAGGAATCAAGTATTTATATAGTTTCAAAGTACTTCTCAAAATATTTATTTATCACAATGGGAAAAAGTAAGTCTACTTGGAGATACCACTTAAGTGAGGTGCATCACCAATAATGGTACAATATTAAAATTATGCACTGCCTGACAGAATTCAATGAGAAGAAAACAGCTGGGATAGAATTCAATGAGAAGAACACTGCTGGGATTTTTCTGCCAAAGATGTGAAACCTGACTTTAATCATGAAAGAATAGCAGATCAACTCAAAAACAAGGAACATTCTACAAAATCACTGGCCGGAAATTTTCAAAAGTGTAAATAAAGATCATGAAAGTAAGAAAAGATTGAGGAACTGCTCCACAATGAAGGAGACTAAAAAGACACAATACTAAATGCAATGGCATAGATAACATGTGGTTCTGAACTGGATCTCTTTGCTATAATAGGTGCTATTGCGACAACAGCTAAAACTTGAATGGAGTCTCAGATGGTACCAACATAGCAATGTATAATTCCTGATTTTGATGATCATACTGTGGTTATGTAAGAGAATGTTCTTCTTTGTTTTAAATATACATTAAAGGATTCAGGGATGGCAGTGCATCATGTTGTCAATTCATTCTCAAATGATTCACCAAGAAGAATTCTACAAACTTTCTTGCCACTTTTCTGTGAGTAGGAGACTGTTAAAAATACAGGCTGCATGCAGTGGCTCATGCCTGTAATCCCAGCACTTCAGGAGGCCGAGGCAGAAGAATCACTTGAACTCACAAGTTCAAGACCAGCCTGGGCAACATTGTGAGACCTAGTCTCCACAAAAAAAAATTTTTTAATTAACCAGGTATGGTGGCACATGCCTGTAGTCCCAGCTACTCAAGAGGCTGAGTCAGGACAGCCTGAGTCCAAAAGGTCAAGGCTGCGGTGAGCCATGATCACACCACTGCACTCCAACCTGGGCAGCAGAATGAGACCATATGTATATGTATATGTATGTATGTATATGACAGCTGGGAGCAGTGGCATTGTTCCAGGTATTCAGGAGGCATGGTCCCAGGACGATGCTTGAGACCTGGAGTTTGGGGCTGCAGTGTGCTATGACCACATCAGTGAATAGCCACTGTCTCCAGCCTGGGCAACATAGCAAGATCCAAACACTAAAAATAAGAAAATAAAATATGGATATATAGATATATATATAGATACAGATATATATAGATATAGATATATAGATATGCATATGTGTGTGTGTATGTCTACATGTATATCATAAAGACAAGATGTACTGAACATTCATGTAACTGACTACTGCGATCTTAAATATATACTTCTAAGCCGGGCTCGGTGGCTCAGCCTGTAATCCCGCGCCTTTGGGAGGCTGAGGTGAGTAGATTGCCTGAGCCCGCGGGTTCGAGACATGCCTGGGCAGCGAGTCCTCATCTCTACAATAAATCAAAAAATTAGCTGGGCGTGGTAGTGCGCGCCTATAATTCCGGCTACTTGGAAGGCTGAGGCGGAAGGATCGCCGGAGCCCAGCAGTTCGAGGCTGCGGTGGCCGGGAGCGGCTACTGCACTCCAGTCTGGGTGACAGAGTGAGACTCCAACTCAAAAAAATAAATAAATATATATATACATACACACACTTCTATGGAAGAGAAAATACAAAATATTCCTAACTCATTTTATGAATTTTAAAATCAAATCAAAGACAGTATGAGAACTGAAAACTAAATTTCACTTATAAACATAAATATGAAACTTCTAAACAAAATATTAACAAAATGACTCTGGCAACGCAGAAGAAAAAGAACCACTCCAGGAACTCAAGGATGGCTTAACACTAGGAAATACATTAATAACAGTACATTCATACATCAAGAACAAAAAACCATGGCTAATTCAATAGATCCAGACAAAACATTTAATAAAATCTAATAATGATTCATGGTTAAAAATTCTTAGAAAACAAGAAACAAAAGGAAAATTTCCTTAACTTGATAAAGAATATTTACTAAAACCCAAAAGAAAATACCATACTTATTGGAAAACTGTTAGAAGCATTCCCTTAAGATCAAGAACATGACAATGATGTCTGCTTTCACTGCTTCTAATCCATGCTGTATTCAGGTCCTATCAATGCATTAAGACAAGTAAAACAAGTAAGAGGAAGATCAGAATAAAAGAAACAAAATGCCATTATTCACAAATAACACTACTATCTACATGGAAAATCTAAGAGAATCTGCACTCAAATTATTAGAATTAAGAAAAGAGGTAGGTAAGATTGCTGGATAAAATATCAAACACAAAAAATTACTGTGCTAAAAAGTAACAAAAGGTAATTTTTTCTTTTTCTTTTTCTTTTTCTTTTTCTTTCTTTTTTTTCAAGACAAGGTCTTGCTATGTTGTCCAGATTGGTCTTGAACCCCTGAACCCAAGCAATCCTCTTACCTCAACCTTCCCAGTATCTGGAACTATAGGTGCACACCATTGCACAAAAGTAAATTTTTTAAAGTTGTTTTCTAACAAACAAAAAAAATCAAACACTAACATAACTGAGATGAAAAAGAGCAAGGTAAGAGTATCAAGTTATTGAGTTACCAAGACTTGCAAGACTAAAAACTATAGAAAAAGGTATTGTAATACTGGTGCAGAAATAGGCCAAACAGACCGATGGAACAAAAGAAAGAAGCTAAAAGCAAGTCAGCACATATAAAACATTGAACATACAAAAGAGATAGATTTGTTGATTTGTGGAAAAACAATGGCATATGTAATAAAGTGTTGACATTACCTATCCATACACAAAAAAATAAATTAGAACCATACTTCAAGCCATACATGAAAATTAATTAAAGGTAGATTAGCAATCTAAATGTTGAAAGGAAAATACATATTTTTATCTCAAAATGCAGAAGATACAAAAAGTACATCCTGATAGGAAGGAAAGATGATAAATTAAATTACATTAAAATGTAAAACTTCTGTGCATCAAGTCATCAAAAAAGAATGAAAAGATCTCACCACCTGAATAAAAATATCTGCAAAGTATATAACCAGCAAAGCATTTGTATCCAGAATATATAAAGAACTTCTACAGTCAATAAGAAAAAGACTAAGAGTCCAACACAAAGGAAAAAATACAGACAGGCACTTCTTTAGTGAAATCCAAGCAGCTAGTAAACAGCAAAAAGATATTCAATCTCAGTTTTAAAGAAAATGAAACAAGCTCCATCATTTTCATCCCTAACTACTCTTAGTATATGGTGTATTAAAATGACATAAGAATTATTACAGAATTCGTCTTATTTCCACCAGAATATTTATGATCTTGCTTCAGTTTGATAAACAGTTGGCTGCAAAATTAGCACTATGTTTTTTAAGTGCTATTCAAAATAAACAGAACATAAAGAAAAATACTTCTATTTTTTTTCCTGTAGAGAATTCTGCCCTAAGATGCAAAAATAAGTCTAGAAAGTCAGAAACTAATTTTATAGCCCAACATTTAACTGCACCATTGGGTATATATTTTTCTGAATCTAAACTTCTACATCGAATTTTTTACATATTTTCAGTAATGCCAGGTGGCATAACATTACAAAGTCTTTTTAAAATATGTTGCAAGACCTTCTAAAAGTATCTCAATGTTTTCCTATGGTCTTTTCTTCGTGTCCTATTGCCAAGACAGCTTTCCAGTGCAACTGTTTTTTTTTAAATCACACACAAGCAATGAGCTAAAGTATGGTTTAATTTTGTTTTATTTATTTGATTTGCTTTACTACACTCAGAAAAGGCTTGAAGAGATGAAATTAGCTTAAAGTTATGCAAAATGACAGTACCTCACAATGCTGGCGAGAAGCTTGAATTTCACATTCATATTTGTTCTTTACAGATTCTAAGCAGAGCTCTCTATAGATTCCTGCAACCAAACACAATTACTCTGATTATGTTAGCAATAAAGAGTTCCATTTTCACCTCCCTACAGGAACTCTGTCCTCACTATATTTTATAAGATGAATCAAGAAGAAATTGACAAGGGATTCTAACTTGATCTTCAAAAAATAAAAATAAAAAAGGCTTATTTAAAATATACATCAAAAAAGACTAGAAACTAAGAGTTTAGGAGATAGAAAAGAAACTACACTGTTAATTTTTGTTCTTACCCCTAAAGAATATTCCTAAATGCTTGATAGAGAATTATCAAAATGACAATAACACTTTTTCCTATGAAAAATAATCTCTCAGCTTTCTCAGAATCGAAACAGAAACAACAAATCCTGGTTTCATCAATCATACATATGCAAAGTAATAAATGGATACTATATCCCATCAAAGCCGCTATTTTTTAACTATTGTTTATTTTCAGAGTCCAAAGCTTTCATAAAGATTAAATGCACAAACTGATATAACAAAATCCATAATGTTTGGAGTACTCTTGATGGGGCTTTACCTAGAGGACCCAAGATAGCTTAAGTTACAGGTATCAAGTCAATAGTATAAATTAGGTAATAAGGTCATGCAAATATGCCACTAAAAGAATGGCAAGCAAACAGCTCTAGATGTGTATTCTAAATGTGTATATTATAGGAAAGAGCAACACATTCACACACACTACTCCTTGCAAAATCCAAAAGTATAAGAGGACACAGAATAGAAAAGGAAATAATGGACTCCACTAATATTTCCTAATAATCTAGTTAGCATGAAAGAATATCAAAGAAAATGAGGGACATTTTCACTTTTAAAGATATGCTAAGTCAATATGCAAAGGCAGCAGTTAAGTATCATATCATTTACATAATATTTCACACTCAAGAATAAAATTTGATTTAAGGAAAGTTTTGTACAAAAAGAATTTATTATCAACAATGCCTTAGGTATGATTTAATGGATACATGAGAGGCAACGACAGTTCCATAAAAGAAATACAATCAGTACCTCCACTAACTAAAACTCAGTTTTTACTTTGACTATGCATATTCCTGGACTATAAGTGCTAGGACACAATACTGAGGCTTCATCCTGGTTACAAACCAAAGATTGAAAAGTTTACCTGTATAAAGATTTATTCATTTATTTATAGCCACAAATGAGAAATCAAACTTATCAAAATAAAAAAGAATCATCAAATTATCTGGCTAAAGATTAATTGCCTTTCTATAATATCCTGATCAAACATTTAAAAAAGTTAAAAAGTTAAAAATATCCTATTACTCTTACAGATGAAAAATACCAAGAGTACTTAAATTAAACTTTATCTAATAGGGAATTAAACTATGATAGTAACAGTATCACTTAATGAAAGTATGATTTCTCATTGTTTCACAACATGTGGAAGCATCTTCTCAAACAACACGGTAAACAACTTGAGGGTTTTTTGTTGTTGTTCTTAATCCCTCACAGCAGCAGAGAAAAACAAGAGGCATTTTACAAATTACTGTGGTCTGACTGATAGTAAAATATTCTGGTCAATGTAAATACATGTGCAATCCAATCAACCACAAACACTTACTGGACAAATACCTTTTAAAACTATTAAAGAGTTTTCATTCTACTATTTGGAGAAGATGTTTCACTTTCCTACCTGCTACCTTTGTACGAATTTGCATATTTTCCTGTAAAGTTGCCAGTGGTTCCAAATATTCTGGTGCTTTTCCAGCTATGACTTCTTGTAGTTTTGCATCCACTTGACTTAATCGTTCTTTATAAAGTCTTAACAAAGCAAAAATTAAGATGTTAATTTACACATTCCAACAAAGGTTAACCATTTGGCATTTCTATACATTATTTCTTCCTAATATTCATATTCCAGTAACTTATCAAATGTTTGTTTGCCTTGACTTCAAATGAAGAGCTCAATTACATTACTTGACTTTATGTACATAATCACAAAATAGGTATCTGTCCATCATCTTTTATCACTGTTGCTCTCTAATGCTTAACTCACAATGCAAAGAAAATCGAAATAACTACTTTTTGGCACTCTCAACTTTTGCTTTTGTTTTAATTGCAGAATAAATGAATTCTAACAGAAAAGGTCACTGAAACACAAAGCTGAAAAGCAACAAAAATCTTTTTGAATAGATATAGACATTACTAGCTGTCAAAATAAATAATTCCCTGGCTTCTCTCTAACTTTTCCAAAAAGGAGTCAATATTACTATACTCAGCCTGCTTAATTTTTTAAAAAGAACAAAGAGAAAAGTAGAGTGATGAAGGTAAAACCATCAGCTTTGTGATCTGGAATACCCATTACATTTCACTTGCAAATGAGGAAGCTATAACAAAGTTAGTTGCTCAATGGACAAGGAATAAAAGATAGGAGAGGGTCCCTGTTGCCCTAGTTATGAGTTCACCTACAAATAGTCTAATTTGCCAGCTGTCACACTTCAGTTTGATTATCAAAGACAGAGTATGAGATAACTCCGAGTTTATTTTTGGCAATAATCCTGCAGAACAGAACTAACTTTGAACAGAAAAGTCTTTATATAGGTTGAGTATCTCTTACCTGAAATGCTTAGGACCAGAAGTATTTTGGATTTCAGCTTTTTTCCGATTTTGGAATATTCACATTATATTTACCCATTGAGCATCCCTAATCTGAAAATCTGAAATGCGAAATGCTCCAATGACCATTTTCTTGGAACATCATGTTGGTGCTCAAAAAGTTCAGATTTTAGAGCATTTTGGATTTCAAATTTTTGGATTTGGGATGATCAACCTCTTTTGGCAAGCTTTATTACAGGTACTTCTAATCTTAGTTTTATGTCATTTTAAGGATGCCCTAAAAAGTTCAAAGCAGAATTAACAAATTAAGATCGTTTTGTAAAATTTTTTTGGTCATTTATTACTTTTATCATAGACAAAGAAATTGTCATATGTCAAAAGGATGGTATATAGTAAATTCCAAGAAAAACCCCTGATTATGCTTATAGGTGTTAGTATAACTAGTCAACTTTTGAAAGCATTATGGTACCTGGCCCTTATATAAACACTTGCATCACATACACAAAAATACAGTGAGTAATACATTTAGCGCTTGGCCCCATGTGGGGCATTGTGAAGAATCTACTGTTGGTGTGTCTGGCTATTTTGTTACCCTTTGTGGACGTGCTTGTGTAGGAACATCTGGGCATGTACAGAAAATATATTTTGCAGGTGAAGGGGACTGGGAGGGTTTTCCCCTCTTGGGAACACTGAATAAACTATGTGTTGGGATTTTGCGTGTGACCCATTACATGAATTTTCCACTTGTGCCATCATATTGGCTCTCAAAAGGTTTCAGATTTTGGAGAATTTTGGATTTTCACATTGGGACTGCTCAACCTATAAAAGTACAGAGTCACTACAATCCATTCTTTGAAAATTTCCATCACCCCAAAATATTTCTTTGAGTCCATTTATAGTCGATTGCCATTCTCATTGCTAGCCTGCTTTCTATCCTAAACAAATGTATCTTTAGGATGTTTTATATAAATAAAATCATCCAATTTATAGTAATCTGCATCTATCTTCTTTCGCTTAGCATAATTTTTCAGTTCATCCATATTATAGCGTATATCAATATTCCTTTTGTTACATAGTATTCTATTGTATAAATGTACCATTTTTGTTATGTTCTCACCAATTAATGGACATTTGTGTTGTTTCTAGTTTAATATAACTTGTTTGCTAGTTCTGTTTGTTTTATTGTGGATTTCTTAGGATTTCCTACTGTAGAATTACATCATCTGCAGTTAGGACAGTTATTTTATCATTTCTAATCTGGGACTTTAATTTCTCATTTCTTTTTTGTTTCTTGTACTTCTAGTATAGTGTTAAGTAAAAGTAGCAAGAGCAGACATCCTTGCATTATTCCTGATTTTAGGGAGAAAGCAATCAATCTTTCATCATTATATATGATTTTAAGCTTAGTTTTTTTGTAGATGCCGGTTATCAAATTGAGAAAATTCTCTTCTATTACTAGTTCATTGAAAGTGTTTAATGATGAATGCGCATTATATTTTGTTAAATGCTTTTTCTACATCTATTGATACAGTCATTGTCAGTGTCATTAGTGGTTTTGTCATTTACGCTATTAATATCATATATTTCACTAATTAATTTTCAAAAGTTAAACTGGTCTTCCATTCCTCAAGTAAATCCCACGTGGTTACTGTTTTAGTACTTATATATCGCCAAGGATTCAGATTGCCTTTATGTTTATAAGGAATATTGCTCTGTAGAGTTTTGTTGTTGTTGTTATGTCTGTCTCTGGCTTTAATATCCAGATAATCATAGATTATCTGAATGTCATAGACAAGTTAGAAAGGGGTCCCTCCTCCTTTATTCTCTGAAAGAGGTTTGGAATGAATGGTAATATTTTTCTTTTTAAAATATTTGAGAAGATCCAAAAGTGAAATCCTTTATACCCGGACTCTGTAATATTTATAATCATTATTTCATTTTTTAGTTGTTATAGGTTTATTTAGAGTTCATATTTCTCTTTGAATCTGTTTTGCATCTATCCCATGTTCTCTCAACTCACGGGGATCCATTCTTGTCCAAGAGTTCTAGCATTATAAAGAGGGGAAAAAACTCAGTATCTAAAAGGCACCCACCACAGGCTGGACAAATAGCTAAAAATTTTGCATAATGCTCACCCTATCCTCATAGTAGATAATAAGGAAGCTATTATCCCCTTCTAATCAATTAAGAAAGTCTGGAATCAGAGAATACACTCTTTCTTTTCCACCACATTTTCTCGAAAATAATGTGCCTTAGTGGAAGTAACACAGAAGTACTTGGAGGAAGAAAGCCTGTTTTAGTTTATCAATTTTGATAAACTATGGGCAAATCAATTAGCTTCTCTGAGAACTAATTTTCTCACAAGTAAAATGAAGATAAGACTATTTCTCTTCCAACCTTACAGAGTAGTTGCAAGAAGCAATCTAAATAATGCATATGAAAATATGTAATGTACAAACTACCCAGTGTAAGACAAACAATTACCTTGCCAGATACAGAATCTTTGGAAAATATTCTACTTTATTCTCAAATTTTAAAAATGCTATCTTAATCCAATTATTTAGCAAAGGAATGAGTGAAGCAGATTAGGATACAGCAACCCAGGAAAATATTTTAACACCAAGATCCAAATCGAAATTTTTTACTTTTATTTTATTTTTTTGAGTCGGTGTCTCACTCTGTCACCCAGGCTGGAATGCAATGGCACGCTTATGGCCACTGCAGCCTCAGCCTATTGGGCTCAGGTGATCCTTCCACCTCAGCCTTCCAAGTAGCTGGAACTACAGCCTTCCAAGTAGCTGGAATTACACCACACCTGGCTAATTTTTTTGATTTATTGTAGAGATGAGGTCTCGCCAAGTTGCCCAGGCTGGTCTCAAACCAGTGAGCTCAGGCAATCCTCTCACCTCAGTCTCCCAAAGTGCTGGGATTATAGGAATGAGCCACCGAGCCAAGTCCCAATTAGAAATATTATACCCTACTCTCCCCATCCCAAAAAATCCTGCCTCTAAACCACCAATTTAGTTAATAAGGTTTTCATCAGACAACCAATAGTTGAAGCCTCTTTCAAATCAGTCACAAAAGGGAAAACAGTTGACACTGAATGTAATTGATCTTGTGGTAGTATACATGTGACAAAGGTGAGATTCAGTGAAGATGACTTTCCAAAGTCACTACTTACTGATCTTTGAGATCGGTAAACTGTTTTTCAAGATTAGACATTTCATCTAAACATTCCATTCTTCTTCTTTCACAGTCTTCATCATCCATTTCTGTTAATAAAAATGCAAATACAAAAAATATAATTAACTTTATATTTTAATATATCTGAATGTTAATTCAAATAGAAAAAAACTGTAAAATGAAGGCAAGACCTGCATTAAGCCTTAAGAGAAAATAAGCAACATTTATCCAAAATAATTTTCACTACACAATTAGCCTAAAATATAGATGAGTTAAAACTACAGTATTCTCTAGACTCTCCTATTTTTATTTATTTTGAAATCATTATAAAGGACTGACTACAAGCTATGACTATAAGTAATTCACTTTTGGTTTGTTTTCCACCAACTCACCAGAATTTAGCACCAAAATGATTGTGTTCTTTAAAGGCTAACATGGCTCAGAAACACTTTGGGAATTATTTCAGAAACGCTCACTTTGCTAATTTACCAGTCACATAAAAAAGAAAACTAATCTCATTATATTTACCACAGGATATCTTGGTCTGCCACTGTCATGCTTCTATTGTTCCCTCTCCCCAAATTACTACTGTCAGCCAGTGAGAAAGAAGCAAATGAGGAGAAAAAAAGCAAACTTTTTAAAGAAAGCAACTATTAATTACCAGGTCTGTCCTATATTCACATCTTCTATTTTGATACAATATATTCAATGCATCAAAATAACTGAAGCACAAAATGATCTGCATCTTGCTCTTCGCCAAATAAAGGTCAAACTATGAGAGTTAAATTATGTTCCATTATAGCAAAGAAGAATATGATTCATTTTTTTTTTTTTTTTTTTTTTTTTTTTTTTTTTTTTTTTTCTGAGTTGGAGTTTCACTCGGTCGCCCAGACTGGAGTGCAGTGGCCGCTCCCGGCCACCGCAGCCTCGACCTGCTGGGCTCCGGCGATCCTTCCGCCTCAGCCTTCCAAGTAGCTGGAATTACAGGCATGCGCTACCACGCCCGGCTGATTTTTTGATTTATTGTAGAGATGAGGTCTCGCTGCCCAGGCGGGTCTCGAACCCGCGGGCTTAGGCAATCCACTCACCTCAGCCTCCCAAAGGCGCGGGATTACAGGCTGAGCCACCGAGCCCGGCTCTGATTCATTTTTTTAACTTTTCTAAAACAAATTAAAAATATGTCTGGTCCTCGAGAGCTTACTCTTTGACTATTTAAAACTTGAATCATTTCCCAAGTTCTCTGGATCGTAGAGGTTTTTCTGTAGCCTTAGGATCTGCTCAGTACCAAGGTTTGACATGCAAGACATATGGTAGAATACAGATGCTTTTACAAGATACAAAACTGCAAATTATATTTAAACAATTTCTTTGCACTTAAAAAATATGCCTTGTAGTTCAAATTACTATCACATTCTTCACAAATTAAGTTGTCCATTATATCCTGGGATGGAATAATAAGTTAAAAATCACAACAGTCAACAACAAAACTATAGGGGTTGAATTTTAACAAATGGATATAATTTTGTGAGATCCTGGCCCCCATCATAAAAGCAAGAACATTTGAAGACAAAATGCTTTACAGATCTAGGAAACACATTCACACACAATCTAGATGCTGTTCTTTCTCTACCGTTCCCATGTTTGAAATCTCACCTACTTTCATGGATAAGCAGATGACTTCCAAATTAGTTTCCATTCCATCCAGTGCCACATTTCCATCTGTCAGCTGAGCATTCTCACTTAAATAAACCACTGGCACCTCGAAAGCAATATGTCTAAAACAAACAGCTAGCTTTTCTATTTTAGTTGACGCTACCACCATTCTCCTTCTATCTGGGTTTTTCTATTACCTTCACTCCTAAACTTGCATTCATCAATCCTGTTTTGTGCTTTCTTTGAAATATTTCACACCTTTACCTTCCTTTTCCTTTCCTAGCTCAAGTCCTTCTCCCAACGAAACTGGTTTTCTCACTCTTTTGAACAAGCCTTAAGCTCTGGACCTTGCAACTTTTCTTACCTTCCTCCCCCTATAGGAACATCCACCACCCCAACCCAAATTCTATTCATTCTTCAAGATAATTAAGGTAATCCCAGTCTTCAGCCAGCCTTTGCTAACCACCCACCTCTGAAGAGATTTCCTCTGAATTTCTACAGCATTGTTTAGCTAAGCACTCATTGACAATTTAATCAAGTTTTGACTTACGACACCTCTTTGATTGAGACAAGATCATAACTATGTATTTACCTCACATTGAGTAGTACCCAGTGCTGCACAAAGAAGACGCTCATAAATATTTTGGGGTGGCTGATTTGTTGATTGAAATTATATCCCTTCAAGGAGATTTGCTTTGAAAGGGAAACATTAAGAGAGGGCGTCCGGGTGGATACTAGGCAGTCATCAATGTTTCCTTTACACGATCAGATCAGGCCAAGACAAAGAAGTCAGTCTCATCCCCAATAAATGGCCAGAAAGAATATAACCCAGGCAACCACAAATCCATTTCATTTTGGAATAATCTTTCCAAAAAGTTCGCAAAATGTCTTTGCGACGTTCATCTGCCCTCCCTCCGCCACACCCCCCAAAAAGAATCTAAGCCCAACGTTCTCAGATTGAAGAGAAGACCTGGAAAATCTCAACACTGCCCAAAACCAGCCAATTTATAAGCATATGGAGATTCGAAATCAGCCCTAGTGTCAGTCTCCTCTCCGTCTCGAAAACTTCAGGGAGCTACTGTGAACGGGACAGCTCCCAAGTCAGCCCCGAAAGAGCACCGGTGGAAAGCGCTGACTGAGAAGCTGAGGCTAATTCGTTTTACGCAGACCCAGGACCGATACAAATTCACCCTCGGCCACGGCAACCCACCCACGCCGAGCAACAAGGGTTGCAAAGGTGAAAAGCCAGAGTAAGAAGTCGGTGGTCCGGGAAGAGGAGGCATTTCGCGAATCCCCCAGACACGCTGCGGGGCGTTCCCGCCGGGTGCGTAGCCCCAGGCATCGCCGGGCGGTCCCCA